ATTCCTGTCCCTCCCATACCCCTTAGACCTAACTAGGTCAAGGCTGGATTGTTTAGAATTCTACCTTAATTATCCACACTAGTTGGAGTCCTGTTGTTAGATGCCATTGAGTGGGTTCGAACTCATAGTAAACAGACGAGCAACAGAATGGAACACTGCCCTGTCCTACGCCATCCTCAAAATCTTCTTTATGTTTGAGCCCATGGTTGAGGTCACTGTGTGAATCCATCTGGCAGGTCTTGCTACTTTTTTGATGCATGTTTACAACTGCCCTGTCCTACGCCATCCTCCCAATCTTCTTTATGTTTGAGCCCATGGTTGAGGTCACTGTGTGAATCCATCTGGCAGGTCTTGCTACTTTATTTATTTATGGGACATTTTCTTGTGGTTTGGGTGAAGCTTTGTAGAGGACGTTAGTTTGACCTTCAACAATACATTTGCGTTTTGTTTCCTTCCACTGGTTGCAGTCCCCTCAATATAATAGTACTCCTCCCGTTGTCTCCCAGCCTATGCTGTTCCCTTTCCGCCTTCTTGCTGCTCTTTCCGCACTTTGTTTTTGGGCAAAGGCTGCCCTTTTTAGTCTTCTATGTTTGATTATTCTGAGGGATGTGTACTTCATGAGTGGCATTGTACACTTTATAGGAATTATTTAGCTGGGGAAAAAAATGAGCCCTGGTGGCACAGAGGGTGGGCTGTTAAACATGAGGTCAGCAGTTCAAACCCACCAGCCACTCTGAGGGAGAACGATTAGGCTTTCTGCTCCCCTAAAGATTTACAATCTTGGAAACTACAGTAGCAGATCTACTCTGCCTATAGGATCACTAAGAATTGGCATCAACTTGCTGGCAGTGAAGCATGCTTTAGAGTCCTATTTATTGATCCTTTGTAATCAGCCATTTTCCCTGGTAATCTCCATTTCAGAGGGGAACCAAGGCATCGATATATGAAAAACACATCAAGGCAGTTAGGGACTCTGATCCGCAACCCAGAAAGGGAGAGGAGATCGCCCTTGTGAGACACTGCTAGGTCATTCTTGGGCTTTTTCACCTCCCCCCAAGCCTAGCATAGATACTGAAATCTCATCCTTCGGTGCATTTGCCCTAGCCCTCAGAACATATAGATGATCCAGTCCATTGGTTATCTCACAATCTCATCTGTTTTCCAGAAACCCCTTCACCAGCTTCCACGTACAGCCTACGTTATAGGTGAGTAACACTACACTTCCCTTCGCTTGGGGTCCAACACGCTCCTGGTAGCCCAGGAGTTACTTCTGCAATAAGCATGTTTATAATCTGCTTCATAAACCAGAGAGGAAGTTAACTAGGACTGTGTCTAATCTACATCTGAATATTTTATTTTATTCTCAGTTATAAGAATTTCTCCTCTCTGGTCTAAAAGTACAAGGATAGGTGCTTCTCTCAAATATGTTTTTTCTTTTTAATATCTTTCCTTTTCTCTGAAGATCCTCATATTTTCCCTTCTTAGACCTTCATCGGCCTCCTCTGGACAAGGGATTTTTCCTTTCAGACCATCCCTGAACGATGGGGATTCGGGGCACTCACTAGTCTTCACCCCTAACAATTCAGGTACGTAACATAATACTCCCAGTGGAATGAGGCTTCAACTGGTATACATTTACTAAAATGAACATTTCCAAGGTGAAAGTGAATGGCGATTTGTCCCCTAAGAGCGCCGTCTTGTTTGCCGCCTTAATATTCAAGTCACCCGTGCCCTTCACACTAGCCAAACAGAGAGCCTTGAAGGCGTCCCAGAGGCCCTGGGTGCTCCAGGAAGAGCAGTCATCCTGTCACCAGTGAAGTTAGCCTCTGAAGTTGGGCTGGAAAAATGGTGAGATCCACCTGTCAAACACTGCTGAAGCTGTTGTAAACGAGAATTTACAACCAATCTCCTTTTTCCTCATCTTTTTCACTTACGGTGCCTCTGCACCCAGTCCTCCCGGGGAGAGGTTGCTAGCTCGCTAGTTCACAACTTCTTCATTGCCTCTATACCTTCCTACTCATATACAAACTCAAAGCTCAGACCTCTCTGTCTTCTTAGGGAAAGGATAAGCTTACTAACTCCCCTCTTACATTGCTTACCCTAGCGGTTCTTAATCTGTGGGTCGCGACCCCTTTGAGGGTCGAACCATCCTTTCACAGGGGTCGCCTGATTCATAACAGTAGCAAAATGACAGTTATGAAGTACCAACGAAAATAATTTTATGGTTGGGAGCCACCACCACATGAGGAACTGTAGTAAAGGGTCCTGGCACTAGGAAGGTGAAGAACCACTGGCTTACCCAATAGTCTTTTCCCCTTCTGCGTGGTGTTCCTCAGGTCAAGGACTCCCTTGCTCCCCTGACCGTAGGTAATGCGACTGAAGAAGTCTTTGGTCAGAGGAAGAGCAGAAGCACATTGGACAGCCTTCCTGGTTTCCAGCTACCATTCCTGTAGGTGAGCACTGACCACTCTCATCTGTCTGCATGAAACACTGAGCTGGGCTTGGACACCAAGTGCCTCTGCCGGGCTTCATGTTAGGGAACATGTAACCAGTGGAGGAGGACATGGATTGCAAGCGGAGTAACCACGCTTATGATTTTCCAGAATGGTCTCAGTTTCAAAGATTCTACCCTAGTCAGATTCGCTTCCTGAGTTAGTGTTTAGAAATTAGATCCCATAGGGGCAAAAGCATTTAAACTAGGAGGGCTTCACCAGGACGAAATAAAAATGTGTGGAAACAAGTGATATTCTCATAGGCCTCCAGCAAATTATTTTCTTTGGAATCTTTTGGATGAAGACTGGTAGAAGTAGGAAGACTCACTTTTACTTCTCCAGAGAGCTAGGGAATGATGGGTCTTTAATTTCAATCCATATGGGAGCCCTGGTGGTGTAGTATTTATGCACTGGGCTTAGATCTGCCTGGTCGGCAGTTTAAACCACCAGCAGCTGAGGGAGAAAGACTGGGCTTTCTACTCCCTTAAAGTCTCAGAAACCCACAGGGGGTGGTTATGAGTCAGCAGTGAGAATTGGGATCCATGCAACAGGAGGGAGAGGCATGGGAACGAGAGGCTTATAAGCTCTGGTCTCCTCTCTCATGGAGAATGAATGAAAAGTCTTGTCTCATCTCTCATGGTTTGGGCTTTGAGGATATCTTGGTCTTTTTTCTAATTCAGGCTCCTGGTAACCCAAGGCAGCTCCTTCATACTAAGATAAATATATCTTTTGCCCTCATATTCCAAATGACCTTTGTCAGCAAGAAATCAGGGTCCTAAGTCCTAAGAGGCAAAGTGGGGAAATAACCTAAGATCTTCACAGAGGAGGAATAAAACAAATGAAAAATTTAAGAGACAACCCAGTTGCCATCAAACCGACTTCAACACAGAGGCTCCATTGATGTCAGAGTAGAACTGTGTTCCAAAAGGCTTAAAGCATTAGCAAAGAAAGGCCCGGTTTGATTGAAACTATAAAATAAAATTTAAAAAAAGAAAAGGGTATTTATGAGACAGAGGAAAATTGGCATTTGATATTAAGGAATTCATGTTTTTTAAAGTGCACTATCACAGTTAGTTTTTTTAAAAAAATAGTCCTGTACTTTCAGTGACACATGGGAACTAGAAATGGACGGGAAGTTCAGTGGTGTCTGGGCTTTGCTCTAGTGTGACCTAGTGCAGGGGCAGGGCAGAGAGAGCAGAAAACCAAGAGGGGCCAGAGTCCTTCTTCAGATGGGTGGTGAGTGCATGTGAGTTCCTTATGCTGTTCTTTCGTATTTTAAATTTCTTTCCATAACAAAGTTTAAAAAGCTATTGAGGAAAGTGCCCCTTCCCCAAAGGCATAAGAATTCTCCCTCCTAAGCAATAATCTCTGATATTGTTGTAGTCATATGTTCCAGATTTCCCAAAATAGTTTTTTAACATTCTGCCATAAGCCACTGAAATGTTTTGAGTTTCATAGCAACAAAGTCTTTGTCAGACTCGCTATATCAACTCTTAGTTTAGAAATGCTATCAGTGGAAACAGCAGCAGTGGTTGACTGTCCCAATAAACCCTGTTTTAGGGTTTGAGGACCTTACCCGCCCCTGTTATAAGGCCCCCTAATCTGCCTTCCTCTCCTTACTGCAGATGTCCACGAGCCACAGAGGCAGATGAGATTAGCCAGGTTACGTTTGGACCACCTTCAGTCTGAGCTACACCTACAGCTGAAGGACTGTGGCATCCCCAGGGGTGACGATGGCCTTGGAAATGGACCCCTGCCTTGCTTCCTGGTTTCACTCTGTGCTAAGTGAACTTTGCCCTACACACCCTCCTTTACCTCCCAGGAAAAGGGTCAAGCCTTAGAGGACGCTGGTGCTTCAGGAAGGTGCTTCTACTTCTCCCACAACACACACATAGCACTTCATCTTTTACTTTTTAAAAAAAGTTGTAAAAACAATTCTTAGCATGATTTGGGAAGGGGTAATATACTCCATCAACTGTGTTTTCTTTCTGGGCTTCATTTTTAAGCTTTGGATATACTCTCCCACTACCAATATTAACAAGCAACAACTCTGTTCCTTATCCTACTGTATTATGCTTTTTCAACTTGCTGTTGTTTCCCGTATGCCCAGTTACGATTACATCCAGGCAGTCCCCAGCTTACGACACAGCGTGACTGTTGATGAACCATACAACTGTGAATCAACTTGGCAGCAAGCTTGGTTTTTGGTTTAGGGGACTTCTTACTTTCATTAATGTTATATACTGCAGTGCTACAGGGTATAACTTGCTGTACGTAATTTGTTGTATAAATGTTGTCCTCATATGTTTGAAGGTCAGATGTATAGTGTTAATAAAAGGTATTCAACTTATGTCAGTACAGACTTAGGTAGAGTCACGGGAACTTAATCCTGTTGAAAGCTGAGGACCACCTGCATGTTGAGCTGCCTTTCTATCAAAGTGGACTATTCTAGATAATAAAAGAGGATGCCCTTTCACTGCTACAGCACTACTGCTGTTATCAGCTCTAGAATGATGGAAATAGTAGTAAGCACTGCCATTGAGGTAGGTCAAACATTTATTTCTGTTTCAGCAGTAAGGGAGAGAAAAGGGGGATTAAATGGGTGGTCTACTGGCAGCTTGGCCACAAGCAAAAATAATGGGGGGGGGAATGACAACAGGCATCTCCCATTAGGAGGTCTTGGGGCTATCCTGTGGCTGACCTAAGACCCCACTACCCTTCCTAGTATTCTCAATGGATTATTTCATGACATCCCTAGATGCTTTCCTCTTTGGGGACAAGGTGGAGTCACCTGTGACCCAATTTCATCTTTGTCCCTGAGAAAACCTCAGAAATTATCTCCACCACCAGCTGATGATTGGGAAACCACCTGCCTGCTGATAGGTTCTGACCTACTGCTTAAAAAAAAATTGTTTTCTTAACGTACCACAATATCTCTTTCAAATAAAAGGACAAAACAAAAAGCCCCAAGCCACTGTGTTAAGCTGGGACCTTCCCATCTTAACTGTACATCCAGAGCGAGCTCTGAATCCTAATTCAGCTAAATCGCCACATCAGATGTGAATCTCCTAAATATCCTGAGATCTTCCAATGTATTTCAAACTGCCAAGCTATCCAGTGCCTTTGTACTCTGATAAGACGGTACTTTAGTTCATTTTTTAAGGTGTACCAAGTCAGAATGTTAGTGAACTTGGGTCCCTTGATCCCTGACCCATATTGAACAGCAAAGTGGAGGACAGAGAAACAATTTTACTTTTGGCCTTTTTATTCTAGCAATTTGGGTACTTCCACTCTTTTTTAGATGGTTAATTATCCATTGATATCTAGTTTGCTTTACAAATGATGAACTCCATTCTAAAACATTAATAATTAACTTAAAGACAATGGTCCATGTTTTCCAGACAGACCTATAAAAGAAGGGAAAGTCTCTTTTTCTGGACACAATTGAGCCGACACCAAAAAGATAAAAAACCAGTCTCTGTCAAGCTGGCCAGGAGGTAGTCAGGATTGTAAAACCAAACCTGAAGCCTATCTCCACTGTCCTTCTTACCAGCAGAAATCATCCCGCACCTCCGTCCTTTCTAACCTACTTCTACTTCTTGTAAGGACATCTCCCCTAACCCCCACCTCCAATAAATATCAAGTCTAAATTATTCCCCACCCAATTGTTCAACATTTCACAAGCTCCATGGAGATTTACCCTGAGACAAACAGTGAACAGAGAGGGAGTTTTGGAGAAAAAGGTACAAGGCAAAGTGGTCCCAGTATCCGAAATGAAAGTATTGTGCTACCTGTGTGATTCGAGTTACGAAACAGGTAAAACACAAAGTCGGTGGGAGGAAGAGGAAGGATCTGTGAAGAGATTGGAGCATACTGAGATTCTTCGCTGCGTTCTGTGTGTGGAATTGTGCTCAGAGAGAAAAGAGGGGCGCAAGGCAGCCTCATATATTCCAGGGGAATTGGTAGGACTGGCAGATGCAATGGAATTATCCACTGACTCAAGGTCCTTCCCCTCCCCCCCTCCCCCCCATCCAGTCCTCCTAGAGCAGAAGGGCCAAGGTTGGGTCTCTCTGTAGAGAACTAAGGGGAAAGAGCAGCAGTTCTGAGAGCACGAGCTGTTTCTCAGCCCAGAGTCGGGGCCAGATCCTTAGCATGCCCTTGGTGGAGGAGAGAGGCTGGGTCTCTGCCCCTCCGGTCCTACCTTACTTCGTGCCTCCCTGCACCACCCCTGCTAGCCCCCCTCCGGCCCCTACCACCAAGAACACAAAGCTTCTCAGTTCTTTGCCACAAGGGAATTGAAAAAAGTGGGTTCTTTGTTTAACGTTACTCAATTAGTTCATCTTTTTAGTAACAGGCTTCCCTCCCGCAGCCCCCCACCGGTTCAGTCCTGTATGGTCACATCATCATCGTTGTCGTCGTAGTCCTCCTCCTCCTCCTCTTCATCCCCATCATCTTCTGGCATTTCCTCCTCCTCCTCCTCCTCTTCTTCATCGAGACAAACCACCACCTCAGCTGGCTCTGGCAATCGAGAAGCAAACCAGTCCAGCACCTGCTGGGCGCTAAGTCTAGAGGCCTGACTCAGTTGAGGGATGTCCCGCTCCTGTAGCTGTTGGTGGGCTGCCCAGTACCGCTCCAAGGGCTGTATGTCTGGGGGGGGTAGGGGGGTGGGCAGCGGCGGTGTCTCAGCCCATTCATTCAAGGAGCGGGCTGCCGGCAGTGGGGTGGGAAGGGCTGGGTCCTGGAAACTAGGGGCACCAGGTACTATGTTGTCCCGAAACCACTTGAGTTGCCCATGCTTCAAGGCATAGCGTGTGTCTCCAAACCACTGAATGATCTCGGACCGAGGTAGGCCAGTGATCTGCTCCAATTTGTGATAGTCCTCCCGCCGCGCCCACTGGCACTGCAGAAAGAAGGACTTGAGGATGGCCAGCTGCTCTTTGGTTTTGCGCTTGGTCTTTCGCTGGTGGCGCTGCATGTCAGCAGAAAGGCACTCCGCTGGGCCAGCCCGGCCTGGGGCTAAGTTATGCTGCAGGCCCTGCGGCCAGGCTGGCTCCAGGTGAGGGGGAAGGGCCTGCTCGTTGGGTGACAGTGGCTGCGGGACACAGCCCAGGGGCTGGAGGGGTTTCGAAGCAGCAGCAGCTCCATTAGCCAGGACCTGGGAAGAGGAGGAAGAGGTAGAGGAAGAGGAGGGAGTCATACTCGATGCTGACTCCTTCTTACAGCTACTGGCAAGGAACGAGAATGGCGAGGGCTTCTCCGGAGCCCGAGGCTGGTGGGCAGCGCTGGAGTGGTTCCAGGCTACAGTGCCCAGGCCACGTGACTGGGCAGGACCCCTGACTGCCTGCTCCTTAGAGGGGCCACTACTTTGAAGATCTTGCCAAAACTCTGACTGATGTGAGAATGCCCTACTCCCATGTGCCATCAAAGGCTCCTTTCCCTTCTGGTGACTTGGAGGCGGCACTGGTGGTACCTGAGGGGACTCCTCGGGCTCTACCTTCAATCCTTTGATCTGGGTGGGCTCGCTCAGAGAGGGCGCCACGTCCTCTGGAGGCCGCCCTGCATGGTGAGTGAGAGAGAGAAGAGATTTGAAATGGAGTTGGTCCCGGTGGTATACGACTCGGGCCCGGGTCTCCTCTATTTCCTCAGATGACCAGCTAATGCCACAGCGGAGGCGCTGGGCCATGAACCATGTCTTGACTTTCTCCATCTGTAGCCCGTAACGTAGGCAAAGAAGGGCAATGTCTGCCAGGCTGGGGTAGGGAAAGTAGCTGAAGGTCTGGAGCAAGTGTTCATTGTCGTCCAGCTCACTGGTCTGGGCTGCTTGGGTCCACACGAGCTGCAGCTCCTCAGAGATGGGAGGGAGACAGATGAGACCCGCAAGGGAGCTATTAAGACTGCTGGCCTCTTTATTAGGAGGCATGGTGTTTTCTGATTTGAGCCCGTCAGAAATTGCTGAAATAAGAAGAGAAATAGCTCAGTCATGGGGGCTCCTCTTTAGTACGTTACCCAATTTCTGCCCTAAGAGCCGCTGGACACCAAACCGATCATCATTATTTGTACTACGTTGTGTTGCTTTAACCAGTGAGTAACCATGGGGCATCCCCAGGGCCTGATCTAATGCCCACTTTACATAGGAAAACACAGAAGTCCACAGAAGTTGAAATGACCCCCAGTCACATGACTAGAGTGTGATCTCTCCCCTTCTCTTGCTCTCTCTCACACACACACACATACATACACACACACACACACACACACACACCTTTAGTGATTAAGAAGGAAGCACTAGTGTTAGCCTTTATTTTCCAGTTCAGCCTCATTTCTGGAAATGACTGCCCAAGGCTCACCCCCTACGTTCACAGAGCAGCGGTTCCTCTGCCCAGCCCCCTGACCCATTTTCGTCCTTTTTAACTTGGTGGTGGAGTAGTGGGGGAGGGGAGTACTAGTACCTTTAAACCCTAAATCCATCTCTCTGGGTGAAAGATAGGTCAGGGCTCCAGGATAAGTAGGGATCGCTTCTCCAGGGGTTCTGGTCACGTGAGGATGGAGGGGAATGTTCCCTCCCCCAAGTCAGCCTGGGAACAAAGGTTATCCCCTCCCCCTGCCTTTGTCTTCCAGCTGCTCAGCCTCTAGCCTTTCTCAGGAGAGCTCGGCTGAGCTCCCTCAGACCCGACCAGCCCTGTTCTGCACTGGGCCAAAGGCCTCAGGCTCTTATCTCCTCAAGCCAGCTTCTTCTCAAATCCAGGTGGACAGACCTATTGGGAATTGGGGCCAGCCCTTGCCCCCCCTTTCCAGCAGGGCTCCATGTGTGGGGGCTGCTGGGATAGCTCCCCAACTGTGCTTCATTCCTGTAACGCCTGCCCAGGTCAGTTCCAAAAATAATTCCGTTGATAGAATGTTCTCCCGGAGACCCAGGTTAGCACACCTGCCACAGGAGGATCCCATTGGGGTCGAGGCTGTCTTCGGAGGACCTGTAAAGGACGGGGCAGGGTCCCTACTTAAATGGTACCACGTGAATCAGGAAAATAAATCTCAAGCTCAAAGAGTTCAGAGGCAGAGCAATGTAGCATCAGGAAAAACTCAGCAGCGTTTTAAAGTATGTTCCCCTTCAGTCCTATTTAACAAGCAAATCTCACAGAAGGTCCTGTCGACCCAAAAGCAGTAAAGGAAGAGAACTAGCAGAGCGTATGTGAACATTCCTAGGAGAATGGCAGAGCGGGGCGGTGTAGGCCTTCTTGAGTAAGGCAAACCTGTGAAAATGATCCCGGTGTGCTGCCACTTAACAGCCACGTGACCTTGGGCTAAGTTACTGTCGTGAGCTTCATGGTCTTTATATGCCAAAAAAGTGTGAACAACATTGAGTGTGTGAGCCGTTACATGTTTTTTCCAAGCCCCGCTGTGTGCTTGGCACTATGTATAAACCAAAAGGCAAACTCATTGGTGTCAAGTTGATTCTGGCCCAGGTGTTACCAAGTAGATGTGCTCCAGTGGGGTTTCTTAGCTGCTTTTTAAGGAAGCAAATTACTAAAGCTTTCTTCTAAGGTCCATGGATAGGTTTGAACCCCGAACCTTATAGTATTTAGTAGTGCACCACTTAGGGTATCTGGCACCGTGCATGAGGAGGACATAAGGAGTGAATCAGAAACTGGTCTGCCACTTCTTTCTGGAGTACCCCACGCCCACCCCGTGGGCAAGTCATTAATGCTCTCTAAGCTGGAGTTTCCCAGCATCTCCCTTGGGAGTTTGTTAGGACCATGTGAAAAGGTGCACTCCGTGTTGCCTAGAACAGGCTGGCAAACTGTGGCTCCTGAGCCACATGTGGCTCGTTTGGTACTTACATGTGGCTCTGGAGTCAAACTGAAAATGAAATGATCGTGGTTTCATATGAAGGATACTACTCAGATTATGATTTCATATGTTTGCAAAAATATATTTATGGTTCCCAAGTAATTTTTAAATTGTTGTAAGGGACAGGATTGGCTCTTCCGTCTCAAAAGTTTGCCCCCTCCTTGGCCCCCAGCCAAGAACACAGTCATGGCTCAGCACAAGGCAGCTTTTATCATGACCAGTGCCAGGGTGATTTTGATAGAAGTGCTCCTCTCAGATAAAGGAGACAAAAATGGAGCCCTTCAAGTGGCTGTTTTCACAGAGCCCTATGGAACAGAGTGTTGGATTGCTAACTTCAAGGCCGGTGGTTCAAACCTACCAGCCACTCCTTGGGAGAAAGATGAGGTTGTCACTCCCCTAAGCATTTTGTCTCAGAAACTCTACATAAGGTATTAAGAATCGCAATCCACTCAATGGCCGTGGGTTTTTTGGGCTAGTTCTAACTAGCAGTGGAGGAGAGTGTATGCTTTTTATGTTTTCGGACTTGGATGAAATTTCAGAATGGAACTTGGCAGCTTTGCAAAGCAGCATGACAGCCACTGCTGTGGAAGGCCGAGCCCAAAGTTGACCATTTGGGGCTAAGCCCTTTTTGATTGCCAGGTGCAGTGCCTTGAAGCACCCGTCACCATCACCTTTTCTCCTCCCAGGCTCCGTCCAGACACAGGCGCAGAGCGGCCTGTGATGAAGTGCTTGCCTAGCCAGGGGCTAGATCACCACTTAGAAATTGTGGCCCAGCAGGGGCACCACCAAACCCCAGGGCTGGAGCCTACTTGATAACTGTAATACCTGACAATGACTAACCCTCACATGATCTGTTCTGGAAGGAGACAATAACAGGTTAGATATGAGGGAAAGGTAGCTGAAAAAAGAAAGTCGTTCATTGTGAGGGAGGAAGGCTGCCATCAGGAACACAAGGCAGGTACAGCTACATGCCTGCGAAGAGGAATTTTACTTTCATTCATGTGAATTGTTTGATATGGTTTAGATTTTCATCATTTCAAGGTAGCATGCAGTAACACAAATAATGTCCACCTAACTCCTCATTTGTCAACTCACCTAGTCCAGCATGTTGCATTTATAACAGCAACAACAACAACAAAAATCACTTACTATTTTGTACATCATCGATGTACACCTGGTCCTAACGAATGCTGAGGTGAGGGTCAAGCATAATGCTAGCTGTGATGTGTCAACTTGGCTGGGCCATCCCCCGCCCCCACCCCCCACCCCCCGGGGCTTGGCAGTTGAGTAATGATGTAATTTGGCAGCTATGTAATAGCCATGTAATGGTGTAATAATCCTCCATTTTCTCAGACTGACTCAGTCTCTGGACTCTAACCTTGTCCATGAGTGACAAGTAGGCACATTTGGCCTACTGTACGCATCCAGTTTTCACGGACAGAAAACACAAGCTGTGGGAGACTTCCTGTACAGATGGCACCTCCCGGGAAGAATCTGGTTCTGAAATCATGGAAGCTACAATCACAGTGGCACATGAACACTAGCAAGCAGGGAGAGCTCCTACAGTAATCAAAACCACAATGAGCACACCACCATATGCTATGTTCTTAGGTCTCCAGTTTGGATTGGGTAGAAAAAGAACAAGTTGAAGCTGGAGAAGAACTCCAGGTAATGGGGGAGGGAGGAACAATCTAGTCCCAATAACTACTAAGTCTATATTCTGTATAAGGAAGTAATCGTCAACAAAGTATATTCTGCCAGCTACATCTTACTGCTACTTAAAATCACTAGCGAAAAATGTGGAGTGGTATTAACATCCTTCCCTTCCCCACCCACCCTCACCCCCAACACGCCCCTGGGCAAATGGCAGAAAGCGGCTACCTTAAGCTCCAGTCTAGTCATTCTTCTCAGAGCCCATGGATAAAGAGGCTGGCGCTTTACAACGTTAGGCTTGGGCCTGGGCTTATGGATAAAGCCAGAGAAAGTCAGAGGGGCACTAGATATGGTCCTTGTAAATTCCCTATAGCTCTTATTCAGAAAACTTAACACACTGCCTGAAGTGTATTTTGGTGATACAGTTTTAAGGATCTGAAAGAATTTGATGGTATTCTCCTTATGTGATTCTTAGCTTTTGGATCATGAACCTGAGAATCGAATAACAGGGCAGAGGGACTCCCAGAAAGTCATGGCTAACCTCCACAATAAACACCCCTAGCTTCCCCTCATCTCCAGGGGTTGGCTCACTGACTGCAGGAGCCCAGTTACAAAGTTGTCATATGCCCTCCCAGTTTAAGGCAACAGTGGCAATCCCTTAAAAAGATGTGAATGAATACAAAGAATAGATGGGACACTCTAGAGAATTTGAAGTAGTGTAGATAGAATTCACAGGTCTGTATGCTGATGAGTGGAAGGGAGGGTATGCAACTGGGCCTGGAGCCCAGTGACCCAGTGGATGACGTAAGTGATGCCCAGGGAGCACTGATACTAGAAGCTAGTAGACTGTACTGCAACAAGATCTGCTGCCCCACACTGCCCTGTGTGCAGAGCCCAGTGATTCCAACCCTGCTCATGCCACTCGTTTTTCCTGTCTTTTTATTACATAATTAAGCAGCACATAAACCTGAGGAAAAAAACACAGCATTACAAACTAGTCCTATGAAAACGATGTCAAAAGCTTTGACTTGGACATGACACAATGTTTAAATAGTTGAATTAGAAGATAGCAAGACAGCTATAAGAGATGGGGGCGGGGCTTAAAACTGTTTCAATTTGTACCCCTGTTGCCTCTTAGTGTGTAAATGCTCATCCTATTTTAAAGAAATAGAAACTGGAAATCATCGATTGCACATTACCTGGGAAACAAACACCAAAACAAAGCAAACAGGCCCTGTTTCCCCCTTCTAATACAATTAGTTTGGCCCCGGGGCCCAGGCATCAGTAGATGTTACAAGTTCTCGTAGGGCAGTCAGGTTTGAGAATCACTCTTGTAGCTTATACCAGGAAAGACAACTGAGAAGGCCAATCAGCAGACTTACACAAAGAAACCTTCTTGGCCCCAGACCAAAACACTGGGGAAACGAATATACTTTTAATTATGTTCAAGATATGTACACATCGTTTTTTAAACTGCCAACTTTAACTGGCTTTCTTGATTGCTGCCATCTACCTAGCCTCATCATAAAAGGGCTTCCAGTACGTGGCGAGGAGGAGGAGGGTCACAGGATGAAAAATCTCCTAATCTCCACATTACCAAGTAGGGCTCCTCTTGAGTCTTCTTCCAGTTTAGAAGTCTCAGATTAGGGTGCAACACCAGGAACCTTTGGGGACTTGAGTTCTCACTTTCCCAGCAGGTTTTCTGAGCAGGCTGGCTAGGGGATCAGAAGGGGCAGTTTCTTGTTAACCCTTTATTCCCAATGGTCATTGTTCCCCCCAGAAGGCCATGTACGCGTTGAGGTCGCCAGGAAGTAGCCATTGGTGGTGGTGGGGTGCTTGGTAGGCCTGGGAAGTAAACGTTTCTCCTGTCCTCCATTTCACAAGCACTCTAGGAGGCTCCGAACTGGGTCAGAGAACAAAAAGTTGCTACACTGGGGACGGTGAGCCCCAGGGAGCAGGCCAACCTCCATTCTCCCCGCACCAAGGGCGTCCCAACCCAACCTAACCTCCCCTCCTCCCTACACACCCACTCACCCTACCCCAGGTACGACAGCGGGCCGCAAAGTCCAGAGGAGAAAGGAGGGGGCGCCGGCGGCTTCGAATCTAGCATGTTCCTCCCTGCGAGGGAACGGGGCTCTGGAGCTCGGGGACTGTACAGGGTCTACGAGGGCAAGTCGAAGGTTGGGGGTCACTCACCGCAGTCCGGCCCGGGCGGCGGCTCCCAGCCTCGTACCATGGGCTGGGGGAGAGGGTCAGCGGGGTCAGGGGCCTCCGGGGTGGGCGTGGGGTTGCTGCCCGGCGCGGCGGCCTCCGTGCCCACCCGCGCGGAGGGCCGGGACCGGGACTGACCCCCCCCTCCCGCCCGCCCCCGAGCGCGCGCCCCCGTCTCGCCCGGCCCCGTTGGAGCGAGTTAGAGGCGGGGCGGCTGGGTGGGGCGGGTGCCAGGGGCGGTGCCAGGGTGGCCCGAGGTCTGATTGGCGGGCGCAGACAGGCGGTCCACGGCGGAACGCACCGGGCCGGCTATTGGCTGGACGGGTCTCGACAGAAGTCGACTATTGGCTCCGCGAACCTCCGCTGGCGTGGGCTATTGGGTACGTGGGGCAGGGAAGGTGTCCCGCGGGGCCCCCCTCATCCTATGGGCACGGAACCCTGCAAGTGCACGGGCCAGTGCACCTCCCGAAATTCCCCACGGAGGGATCCGAGCACTTTGCCGAACTCCTCGGAACGCCCGCTCCTCGGTTGCTTCCTCTCGAGGGAAACGTTCCAGAACCCGCCCCCCCCCACACACACACACACTTTTTAATCCTCCCCTCCCTAACCTTAGAGCCCTTTGATGGCGCAACCGGTTAGGGCACTGGGTTGCTAAGTGAAGGTTAAAGGTTCAAGTTTACCCAGAGGCGCCTTGGAAAAAGGCGTGGCGATCTAGTGCCCCAAACATAGCCTGTGAAAACCCGATGGAGAGCAGGTCTCCTCGCGGACCGTTAGCACCCGCTGTCTGTCTGCCGAGGCCGGGCAGCATGCAAAGTACGGGGTCCTAGGGCTCCCGGGGCTCGCTGGTTCAGGGAAAGTGCCTGAGGGGGTCGCCGCGGTGACACCTCCCAGACCCTCAGACCCTCTTCCTAGTAAAGACCCGAACCTCTGCTTCGGATTTGGAGTCCCGGGTTTCATTGTCAGGAAAGGTGGTATCGTGCTGACGTGTTGGGCTGCGACCCCCAGCTCCGCGGGAGAAAGTGAGTCTCTGAGACCGGCAGGGGGTCGCGACGAGTCACGTTGACCCAAGGGCAGTGAGTTCGGTTTTGGTTCGGCCCACCAAAGCAGTAGCCCACGCCCTATGAAGTTGTGGACCCAGTTTGAATATTCTGAATTCTTTATCTTCTGAACAAAATTGGGGAACAATGTCTTTCGGTTAGGGAACCCGGGTGGCATCGTATCACGTGTTCGGTCGCTGACCGCAGTGTCATCAGTTCGAATCCGCCAGCTGCTCCGCAGTAGAAAGATGGCAGTCCAGCTGCTCCAGCTTCCACCGCGATGTACTGCCTCGGGAAGCCTAGAGAGCAGCGCTCTGTCTTACAGCCTGAGGTCGCCCGAGTCAGAGACATCTGTCTGTCTGTCTGTCTCCTCTGCTCTCATACTGGTCTTTGAAATATTGCCTATTGAGGTCACTTAATAGCGTATGCAGCTCCAATCGTTTTATGGCGAAATTTCAGACATTGCCCCATATTCTACTGACTTGAACCCCCATCCTCACCCCCACAAAGAAGCTCACATGGCTCCTACTTCTCATTCTTCATTGGTCCTCCCTAGAGCGCCTTCAGGCTTGCCCAACACCGTGTACACACTCTCTGTTTAGTGCTCAGCCCTATTTTCTGTCACGGGCCCTGTCTCGCGAACCCCCGGGATGCCGTTGAGCAAGTGTTGGATTGCTACACTGCTTGGTTGGTGGTTCAAACCCACCAGCTCCTCTGAGGGGAAAGACGAGGCTATCTGCCCTCTAACTGATTTATACTCTTGGAAACCCTACATAGGGTTGCAAGGAGTCAGAGTCAGAATCACCTTGGTGGCACTGTTTGCTTTGGTGGAGCTTGTATTTGCTTCCCTTCTCCCTCCCTGAACCCTGGTGGCTCAAGGGGTTCTGCGCAGGACTGCGGGACAGTCTCGGGATCTTGCAGGGGCAGTTCTGCCGGGTCCTGCAGGGTAGCCAAGAGTCCGCATCAACTAGGAGTGGGCATTGACTCGATGACAGTGAGTTTGTGGGCTGTCGCCTTTCCTCCCTGACGTTCAGCGACACTATCCAGTCTTACAAATAAACGGGATGCCTTCCAAACTATTATCTGGTAACAACAACAACAACAAAAGACCCAAACATTGGCGGCGTCAACAATGGAAATCATGTATTCTCAACTTCAGGGTTAAACATCTTACTCCTCAAAGTAAGAGCCAGGAATACATAGATCTTCTCCTAAATCACGATGATGACAAACTCTCCAGTGGTTTTAATCTAATGAGAGAAGTTTGGGAACGTGATGCATTATAAGCAGTTTCCATAGAGAGGGCATCCCCTCGTCCAAACAGTTAGTAAAACTGGACAGACTGGGAGGGACTCACGCGGGTTTGGCTGGAAAGCCACCGGAACTGACTGTGGGAATGAGAGCCCTGGCCCTGGGTTGGTGAGTCACTCTGGGCATCACTGATTACGGGCTTGGCCTTATGAAAGGTAGACAGCTCAGCTGCCTTTCTTGACTCAGAATGCCCCTACTGAGAGTCGGGAGTGGGGGTGGGGGCAGACCTGAAGACAGGAGAGAGAGTCCAAGGAAGGGAGAAGAAAGGCCCCTGCCTGCCCTGGTTCTGTGGTGCGCATGAAGCTTTCCTCTTCTGCAAGTATTTCACCCTGAAGTTTTAGAAGATCGAGTGGAAGAGGGCAGGGCAGATGCAGAAGGGGAGCGGAAGAGGCCACGAGGCCACCGAAGCCAACTTCCTCAGAAAAGTCCCCGCATCAGCAAGACAATGACCTCCCAGTTTGGGGTGCTCAAATAACAACAAACAAACAACAAAGAAACGTAGCTTGTTTCCATCTCTACTGGACAAGGTAGAACTACCCCTGTGGATTTCCTAGTAACTGTAATGCTTTACAATACTACACACCCTCCTCTTTCTCCCTTGGAGGGGCTGGGGCTTTGAACTGCTAACCTTTTGGTTAGCGGCCCAAAGCAGAACCCACTACGCTGTACTAGTGCTGAAGAATGGGGTCTCTTCCTGTTATCTTTGATGTAGAGATATTAATCCTACATGTTTGGGGAAAGCACTCCCTCTGGGGATTAAGGAATAAGACTTAACATCATTTGGTCTCGGCCCTTGTTTCTTACGAGGTAAGGTGAAATCCTTGGGATTTCATGAGTAATTGGGTGTCTCTGTTCCGGAAGGAGCCCTGGTGGTGTAGTGGTTGTGGCTGCTAACTGCGAGGCCGGCAGTTTGAAACCACCAGCTGCTCTTCGGGAGAAAGATGAGCTTTCCTGTAGAGTAACTGAAGAGTTACAGTCCGTGAAACACACAGGGGGATTCCACCCTGTCCAAGTAGTTGCCATCGACTCGATGGGAGCGAGGTGTGTTGTGTTGTGTTTTGTTTTGTGTGGCTCCGTGGGTAAGTCACGCTAGCTGCTCCCTGAGAGACAGATGTGGCAGTCTGCTTCCGTAAAGATTTCGGTGTTGGAAACCCTATGGGAGAATTCTACTCTGTCCTATAGGGTAAGGTGACCAGACGTCCCGCTTTTGGTGGGACAGTCCCAATTTTTAACAATTTTTCCCGCATCCTGCGGCATTTTTAAAAAGTCCCGGTTTTTGGAAAGAATGCATGACAAGCTAGGGTATACGGTTCTCGGCTGCCATGTGGCTGTTTCGCCAGGATATGAGTTTTGTCAATGGCGTCCCGCTTTACCAATGTTAAAATCTGGTCAGCTTACTGTAGGGCCACTGTGAATCAGAATGGGCTAGAAACTCAAAGGTAGCAGGTTGGTTTTTGGTTTTGTATGTGTTTGTTTTTGTTGTTATCTAAGACCTGAATAACACCTGGGGGCTTGTGCAAATGAGTGGGTGCCTGGCCAGGCCAGGCCACAAAGGTGCCAGGTGGCCTGATGCCAGCTGACCTCAGAGAGAGAGGAGCGTATGATTTAATCACTCATGCCTACACAATGAGGCCCCGGTACGGAATTGAGACCTGGCAGCTCCTCGAGTTTCCTGACACACGTGGGGCAGGAACACACCCAGTGGGACACGGAAGCTGTGCAGTGGGGACTCTCCCAGACCCTCCCTTTTGTGTCTCTTCATTTGCATCAGGGTTTTTTTGTGTGGCTATAATAAAGCTCTGATCATAAATATAACACTCTCCATGAGTTTATGAGTTAGTTTGGTAAATTTTTGAACCAAAGAAAGGTGATCCAATAAAATCTGGGATTTATCACTCATATCATTTGCAAGTAAGAAATAAATAGCAATCCCCTGGCCCTCTTAGCGCCAGGGATGACACTCCTGCTTGGAGCATCCAAGGCATGAAGACAGTCCTAGGGCCAGCCTCACCAGGAGACAGACGTCCGGCCCCTCGCTGACCCATAGTGCTGCAGGGGACAGCAGTGGAGACACAGTGCGGGAGTTGTGCCCTCTCTGAACCCCCCACACACACTATGGCGAACCACAGAGGGAGCGAGTGTAACAGAGCAGCAAGGGGAGCAAAGCAACCAAGTCCCTGAGGAACCCTGAAAATGGACTTAGATTCAGAGGGCAGGGCTTGGCATCTCATCAGACGCGATTGGAAAACATACATAAGGGTTGGCAGACAGACCTGGAACAAGTTATAGGCTTCCCCCCACCTTTTTTTTCATGTCTATTTTTTTAAGATAGGCAAGATAAACATCGCAAACAACAGGACTGACGGATCCAGGGGGACGGGGGAGAGGGGGAGGCGAGGGAAAGGAAGTGGGGAGCCAACAAACCCAAGGACAAGGGACCTAGGGTTCTAAAATCGATGGCGAGGAGGGAGTAGAATGCTTGGTGGGGTTCGATCAAGTGCAATATAACAGAGGAATTCCTGAGAGATGAAT